GTTTAAAAGCGGGAATACAAGGCAGGATAAGAGGTTTATGTGAGAACTCAAGACTCTGAGGGTCAGCAGCTCAGTTGTAGTCACTGTGTGACTGGCACAGATTGGGTGTGCAGCAGTGTCCACATGACTCTCCTGATCTGGCCCACACCGTGGCACAGAGTAGGCCAGTACCAGCACACCAACACGCCAGATACGTTCAGGCACACTGTACTCCATACTGACAGGACGAAAACTGTAGATCTTAACTTAATGCAAATCAAAAAAATGCAAACATTTACAAAGTCTAAAAAAAATTTAACATAATGATTTCACCTTGTTAAATTTAGCCAAAAGTGTTTTTTTCCTAACAACAAATATGTGTTGCATTTTAGAGTGACTCGTTATTTTTTTATTTTTTTATTTTTTTGCAATAAGTTAGTTTATTTAGTGGAAAATGTTTAGGATAGTTGCTCATATTGTAAGGTGATACCAGGGAGGTCATGGCAATGTCAAAAATCCTGAATGATTATGAAAAATAAATTGCATCTTAAACGTGACTCAAGCTTGTTAAACATTAATGTTCATGTCAGTTCAACAAGGAAAAGACTGAACACGTTTGGCCTGTTGAAATCGCTTGCAATGAGAAAACAGTTGTCAGCATGGTTCACAAAGTCACAGATCTTGGACCACAAGACATCCCAACCCACAAGACTGTTGGAAGATTGTCTTTGGGGCCAGAAAAAAACCAAATTAACATGTTTTATCCATAAGGCACGGCACTTTGGTTGGTTTCCATCAAGCAAAGCCAATCAGAAGAAAGGTCTCCTGCAAATAAGCACGGTGGAGGAGGGCTTATGATCTGGGCTTGTTTCTTCAGCAAGAAAGCTTTGGCACCTTGCATTCACTGACACACAACCGTGGCTGAAATTGAATAACGCAACAGAACACGAGTCCCAAACACAGCAGTCGAACAAAACAAATGAGAAACTGACAATAATGTGATGGCCTAGTTTAGCACCGCAGTCTGATTAAGTTAATATTTAATGAGCTAAGGCAATAACAAGTAAAAAAAATCTTTTCTAATAATTTTTAGCAGACTTGTATTTAACAACTGGAGAAAGATTAGCAACTCTATGACTGCACCTAATTTTAATATCTGCAGATAACTGTGAGCATCAAAGCCTTACAGGTGAAGGTTTTAGTTGATAGATTATCCTGAGGAATATTGCATGCCAGGGTTTTTTTTAATCTATTTGTTTTACTAGAAAGAGTAACAAACATGCTTGTGGTCAGGGATGGCAAACTGTGGCCACACCAATTAACATCATGTCATCATAGGTTGACCACTAAAAGTGTGTTCAGTCTGTATTATTCTTCCCTTAAGACAATTTGCTCACATGTCCACTTGTTGAGGTCATTATGACCAGTAGGAGCTCCCTTTCCATCTTTCCAGTATTTGCCAAAAAGAAAAGTGCCCATCTGACTGTTGTAACTGAGCTGGAAGTGCCATCTTTTCCTAATCAAATATGTCTTTTAGCTGTGGTCTCTTCTTGCCTGCTGATGGCACCAGAGCCGCAGGATGTAAGCGCGCCAAACACAATTTAAAACCCTCGCCAAACCATGTAATCTTCAAAAATATCCTGTACAACCATGTTATTATACGGTGTAAGCCCTGTAACAACTCACTGCAGAGACCACTAAAACCTTCATAATATGAGGTGTGCAGCAACTGTTGCAGTTTTCTGATTCAAGCAGTAAAATGTGTCTATCAGACGGTATAAATTAAATATGATTGTTTCTGTTTTACTGCACATTAGCTCCCTTTTTTTCCACATACCTGGTTGGTTCCACACATAAAATTTAGATTTCTTCTCTAATTTTCATGCAACCATTCAAAAATAAGGTGCTGACTGGAATCATCCTGCAGGCTGACATGTTGCGTCATTATATCGCATCTTTGGTATAGCAAGTCATTCAGCATTCTTGATGTGAAGAACTCAAAGGAATGATGACTCGGCTTAAATTAAACAGAAATAATAGAAAAAAAAGGCTTTGTTTTCTTTTGCCAAATAGAGAAGATGAGTTATCTGAGCCAGCAGGTTTTGCATGATCTCACTTTCACTGTCACAGCACAAGCGCTGAGAGAATCCTATCTTCTTGGCTCAGGCTAATGTGATACCCTTTAGAGGTGTGGCTAGCCACAGGATATCCTATGAAGTTGGGAAATCCCTCTATCAATGGCGCTCCCCGCCCTGCTTCACGTCAGGGGCTAATCAGCCCTTGAGGCTCGGTAATGAGACGCCTGCCTCAACTGTCTGCCAGCCAACGCCAGCCTGAGCCCACACTTTTACCCTGCTCCTTCTAATGAGAGGTAATCACCCAAAGGCTCCCCACAAACCACTGCGGAGATGCCAGCACGCACATAAGGCAGGCAAGCCAAAAGACAGGAGGGAACCAAAGGAAATGGTTATATGGATCCACTTTTAAAAAAATGATTGTAACTTTTTTTTGTGCTTCTGCTGAAGAAGTGAGTGTTATGTTTGATACAAACCAGGAGCCAAATCTCAACTATGCAGAAAAAAAAAGCCTCAATGTGCACTTATCATATTTGGTATCCTGTTTTTTAAGGTTCTGCCTCAACTAATGAAGTGCTGAAAACAATATTATCTTTGTTTTAACAACAAAGTGGTAAAATATATATATGGTAGCAATTAAACCCTAACCACTATATTTGCATATTCCAGATTTTGGGGTGTCTCTGTAATTCCGTGTCGCATGACTGTGGGCAGCCTTCCTGTATGTGTCGCACATAAACTAAATAAAAAACAAACCCTGGACCCAGTTTGAACGCCCGCTTTTGGTAGACTTTACAAGACCGCAGAATTACATGCCTTACACAAACACTCCGACTGAAACCAACATAGAGTTATACCCCCCGACACACGAGAGGCGTACAACCGTCCTATCAAAGCGCAGAAACGTTTAGATCCAAAGTCTGCGCCGATCATTTTCAGTATCATCTGAACTGATAACGGAGCAGCCGATCCACCTGCCGCAGCAGGCGGAGCGAGCAGAAATAAGTGTTCGGATTCTTGTGGCAAAGGGTGACAATTTATGTGGGTGCTCAAATACGCCAGGAATCCCACCCCACCCTCGGGTGAGCTGACTATGGGCAGGAGAGATTGTGTTTATGTTATACTTACGCTCCACCGCACTCTGGAAATTGGGTATGCAACATTGACTATTTTCAGTAAATCAGTACCCAGGAGGCCCTTGGAAGCCTCGTGGATTTAACCTGGAGCATCACCGGCGTTGGGTTTCTGAGAAGCATGGCCTCGAGGCAGTCACGTTTTGTATCTGCGTCACCTGTGTGGGCTCTTTCGATATGTTTCATGTTCTTCAGCCGCAGGACTAAATCCTTCACTGACACTCGTCTATTATTCCCCTTTCACTAGGCTGCAGGGATAGTGCAGCTGGAGGATTGTAATACCACATGTCTCCTCACACACCCGGGCCACAGATAAAGAGCAGACTGACAGAGAGAAGTGAAAACAAGTGCTGACTGAATCAGTAAACACACATTATGGTTATTAAGGCTGGTGCGAGTGCCAGTTTGGCACATCAGCTTTAACGCATACCACTTGCCAAGGGTGACTCTGCAACAGGAAGGGAGAAACAAATACAAAGTTTCTGCTGAACCTAACTCAAAATCATGAGAGGCAACATTTGTGAGAACAAACTAGTACAGTAATAAAAATAATTTTAAAAAACATAATGTTTTCAAAAGCATAACCTGTGGACCCTTACAGTTGTCACATACAAAACAGACCCTTAGTGGGATGTTTCTTCACAGTCTGTCCCAGATCGCTTAAAACTCCTGGATCYGGCATAACACCCATACCTACCATAAATCTGACTCTGCTGGAAGAGCCTCAGGTGTCATCTCCCTGCAACCATTTGTCTGAGTTTTGCAGTGTTCACAGATGAAGCACACAAAGCATCACCTATCAACAGAAATTGTTTTTTAATAAAGAAATAAAAGATCTGTTTTGATGATTTTTTTTGTTCTCTCTTTTTTTTTTTTTTTTGTATGAGAAGCCTGAAAGAGCAGGTGAATCTTGCAGAGACCAAACTCCTTCACCTACAGGTGAAACATTACATGGAGATCCCCCTTGAATGACCTTTTCTAAGACTGTTCGTGTTGAGGAGCCAAAACAGTCTAACTGCAGCATTAGCAAGGCACTATGAGGTGGAGGTCGTGTGGGCTCAAATCCAAGGCATTCCCTTACTTCAAAACACAACCGCAGCACTGCTCCGTCAAAATTAAACATTTCATACTTGGACACGACATGATGTATTGAAGTTCAAATTATCAGATTAATTTCCTTGTAAGTATTTTAAAACGTGATGGGGGCGGCAGCAGAAGGAAACAAAAACCTGCTGTGCAATGTTTATGCTGGACGGGGGAATTTTCTGTGCAAGCAGAGCAGACGTTTTCGGCCACCGGTTCAGTCAGTCAGATTGCTTTATTGTTACCAGCTGTTGGGGTCTGAGGCATTCACACTCACCTTTCGCTCCATGCGGCTGCTCTCAGAGTCGGCTGAGGATATGATTTTACAAGTGGTTCGGCAAAATAATCACTCTCGCCTCGACCTGCCATTCAAATTACTCTCTGGGTAACTTCGCAAGCGGGTTGCTGGCTCACGTTTTGGGGGTCTGTGTAGGTGATGAGATGAAGAATCTCTRAGACTCCAGCTCAGTTGCCTCCAGTGTTTTTTTCAATTCCCAGCACCTTCTGTAACAACCTGCTGCAGAAACCAGCTGTAAGGCCTAAATGACACCTCCCTGACCTGCTTATGCTAAATCAATCAAAATGAATCAGGTCTGAGCAGTGAAAGCCCTTGTAGTAAAAGTGAAAAGTTGTTACCTGCTTTGTGATTCAAGGACCAATCAAATCAATGAAAGCAGTGTCATAGAGGAGTGCCTACACTGTGTGTATGTGCGTGTGTGTTGGTCCTTACCCAAAGTAAGCTGTGGTGGGTCCGGGCAGGCTTAGAAGATACACTATAATTGTGAACGATAACCATCCCAGGAGTAGGTGTCCATCCAGCATTTTGCTGCGGCTCCAGGGCAGATCATTTCGTTTCTCCTGAGTAGCGGTGTAAAATCCCTTGTTGTGCGTTCAACACTTCTTATACAGAGAGGAGCTGAGCTGCGCTCCTCCCCTGCACAAGAGAGAGAGAGGAGAGGAGAGAGAGAGAGAGAGACTCATGGCAATACATACCGCACTGATTCACAATTCCCTCTCAGGTTTCACACAGATTATTCATCTCAGCATGTCTTCATTTATGATTGGCATGGCAGCTACTCTGGGCATTTTTTAAAGCTCCTTCCAGTCATTGTTTGTAGACTGAGGTCAGTCTGAGCTGAACTGGACTGGATGATAAAATACTTTTTTTTTTCACACAGTGACAGTTTATTTCCAGAGGGATAAACCCTGAACTGGTGTGAGGTAGCACAGGCAGTAAAATTCAGCATCTGGGAAGCATAGAAGTGAAATATGGTTCCGCATATTGTTTGGGATTTTACACTGTATAGTATCTCAGATAAGAAAGATGGTTTGTCTACTTTTTTTCTGTAGGTTAAAACTTTCTTTGCCTTTAAACCATTTACTTTATTTGCGTTTTTTAATTGAGTCACAAATGGACATCAGAAACATTAGAAATATGTCACTTTCTGGGATTCCTCAGATTTTACTAAAAACGTATTTAAACATTTAAAACATGAACATATTTCGCAAGATCTTATCCTCACTCAGAACATTGATTTTTTTAAGTTTTAGGGTTTACATCAGTGGTTTTCAAACTTTTTAGCACCCAGCCCACAAAATAACAGTTGCAGAAACTTGTGACCCCTGATATTACTAGTTTATGTATGCAAACTTTGCTAAACCTGGGCGTAATAAGAATAATATGAACAAACATCATCTATGCTGAAAGTTATATAAATATAATAAGAAGTTAATACGTTTTTTTGAAATAATTATGGTGGAAAAATTCCAAAAGCGATTTATTTGCAATTAAATTGATGTCTTGAAATCATTTGAGGACCCTCAAKTGATGTTTCATGACTGACAGAGGGGTCCCGACACCAACTTTGAGAGCCACTGGTTTACATGATTTATATGGGGATTAATAGATGTAGTAAAGCATATATACATGTTTGGTTAAACACTATWCAGTATATGTTGTGTATGTTGTGATTGTAAGTGCAAAAATAAAGTTGTTAAATGCAATACATTTGTTCTTATTGTGTAATTCATTCTATGCTTTGATCAGGTTTTTTGTATATATAATAACTGCTTTATGCCAAAGATGAATTTCCATTTTATGTCAAATAAATGAAAAATAAAGTATGCTGTTCTAGATTCTTTGAATTCATAACAGTTTTGTCCAAAACCAGCCGTTCATACACACTCAAATCTGTCAGTGGGAGTATTATTCATATCCGTGGAGACTGACCTCCAGAATGTAGCCACCTAATGCAGATTAACTCCAAATAAAGCATGATTCTGACATTTACCTAATTCTTTTTGGTGCATTAGAATAAAACATTCATTTGATTGTTGTCCTTGCGTTGGCAGGAAACAGCTCCATTTTTCTGTGTGCAACGTGGAAGCTGGAAGCATACCCCCATTTCAAATATCTTGCCTCTGCTACAATGTAGGCTTTGTTGAATATAAAAGACTTAATGCATTGTTTAAAAGTATGCACATTRATAAACTGGCAGATAATCTGCAAACTCTAAAATAAAGTTAGGAATGCTTGCAAAATGTTTGTTATAGAACAAAACTGACCTGTGAGCAAAATGCTCAACACTGGCATAATGCACCTGTTTAGGTTGTTTGTGTCAATATCTTGCTCAGAAAAACTGACACATGGTCAATAATTCAAATGGTTTTGTATTATAAATTGTTTGTTTCAACCTTTAAAATTACAGAATATGTCATCAAAAAGCCATCTGGTTTTAGCTGAAGAGTTCTTATCACAGCTGAAATACAATAGATTACAAACTATAGAAGGGATTATATTTGTTAGACATTTTACCTTGACGGCATTTATAGTTTTTAAGGCTACTCGGAGTGTTTTTCAGAACAATAAAAATTCCCTTTTTTTAGGTTTTACGTGTTTGTCTTGCTAAAAAACTGACTTTTGGGCAGGTATCATAATACAAAACTGACAGTGTCTTCAGAGTATCTATCTCCAGATAAATTGTCTCCTGTGTTTTTGTAACAAGCTGAACTAAGAGCTACTATCCTAAACCTGCAATAGCTGCTTGCCCTCACCATCAGATTTTAATTTGAGCAGTTCTTCTGTCAAACAGGTCACAAACTTCAAAGTCAAACTCCACATTTTTCTTGGCAAAAAAAAACTCATGTGTGGAAGTTTATGGATGAAGTAATCCCCTGATGACTTATTAAATATCTGTAAGCGTTTTGAGTTTTAAAGCTCTAAATATGGTGCACATTTTGTTCCACCTCCCTATAAACATATTAGGATCCACTCGTTCAGGATGTCAGAGTCCAATTATGTTTTATGTTCAGATAACTTTTTCTGTAAAACAAAAACAATGATTTGAAACACTTTACCTCTTTATTTCAAATGATTTGTGAACTACAGCATGAAATAGCATGCAAAAAATCACAAAGTCTTATACTCAGTGCATGGTTATACTTTGAATTAAAAAAAATCTACTTAAGTATACTTGGGTAGGGTGATGTAAAAAACACGTTTACCGGAAATTTTGCATCCATTCACTTAAATATGAATTGAAAAATATCAGTTTGCAGAAATGACTTACAAAACATGTCARTGGTGAAGGCAGTCACAAACTAGCTTTTGATAGCATTCAAGACTGCATTCAAGATGATGAACAAAGAGAAGTTCTTAAACTTTTCAACCATCTCATATTTATTTCCAAATGACTGAACTTCTTGTTTAAAATGTCAAATGTAAGTGAAAAAAGCCTTTTTAAACTGCTTTCTTCAAGATAATAAATGCAGTTTTTGTAGGAGATTAGTTAAATAGCCGCAGCTAAGCTTGTTATTCTCATAAATATACTTTTGCATGATTTTGCATGTTCGGTTCACGCTCAGTATCCATTTAAAAATCCACACAGGTGAGCACATGAAAGCCCAGGAATGCACTTTTTTCAGCGTTATAAGCTTGTCAATCATTCCTAAAGGGCAGTTATTCAAAAAGCCTACAGGCCCCCAGTAAGAGGCCTGCTTCTTAATAACACCTGGTGTTAAAGGAGATCAGCGGGAGGGTTTGTCAGTACATGACAAGAATGGACACTAATCCCAAGCAATACCCACTGGCCCTGCATGTCTCTTGAGTGGGATAATTGATTCCCACACCCTTCTTAAAAACACGCTCGCCCCCTCTTCTCAGACACAGCAACCAAGAAAACAGAGCTTGTTTCATTCTGGTGTCGAGGCAGCAAGGACAAAAGCAAGTATTTTTTTTTCTTTTTTCATTTGGAGCTCCTCATGAGAACTGAACTCAGGGCTGTCATAAGTGTTGTAGGTGGTAGCAGAAATTTGTTTGGTAATGGACACTAATCTCTTTAGGTTGTCAGGGGTTTCCCCTTCTTCGCTGCTACCTACCTTTCCCTTCTCATTCCTTTTCTGCCTCTCTGACCCCGTCTCAGAAGCTAGTCCAACTCAACTAAACGTGAAAGTTGTTAAGTAGTGTAGGAAAGTTGCTTTTGTTGCAGGTCAGAAAACAATGGAGCACCAAGTGGAAAATGAAATGTTGAAAAATTTCACTAATATTTTTCATTATTTAGCTCACTTTTTGAGTGTTAAAAGTTTTCCACTAACATTTTATTATTAGCTCACTGTTCTTACATTTAGCTAATTTTTACTAATTGTTGAATTTAAATGTTAAAAAATATATTTAAATATTAAATCCTGAATCTAAATGTAAAAATTAAACCTTAAATATTTAAGTTCAATGTTGAAGTTCACGTTCAGGTATTTTGGAATGGAACGCAGCCTTTGCTGTTGGTTCTCTGCTCATGTTATGATGTCATCATCCTGAGACGCTATAGCGCTCCAATGCAGCTAAAGCTTCCCWACAAGACTTCAAACCATCAGTTATCCGTGTCTGAGCTGCTCGTCAAACTGCTGGACCACAGGTACCACCCATATTGTTTTTATGAACACATTTTGAATTTGAGTGAGTTAAATAATTGGTAACGCTTTCTTTTACGGTACCCTTATTTCCATGTAATTACAAGGTAATAAAAATGGTAATTAAATGTAATTACTACATTTTTACTGTATAATTACGTGGTAATTAGGGTACAATTTTACTATGTAATTAATTGTCTGCAGTAATGTAGCACTTGCCTGGTAATGTATTACAATTCACTACGTAACACCTGAATAAGTAGTAGGTAATTTGGACAGTTTTAAATTTATATTTGATTGCAATTAACCACTAACCCTAAAATTTAGTTGCATTCTTTTAGTTATAAATATAGTGTAGTTACTATTGAATGGTAATTTGATTGTAGTTACCCAATAAAGGTAGTTTTACTAACAGTAGTTTTTCTTTTGTACCCTAATTACCACGTAATTACATGGTAATAAGGTAGGAATTACCTTTAATTACTTTTTATTACCTTGTAATTACATGGTAATAAGGGTACYGTAAAAGRAAGTGTTACTAAATATTTTAACATTTTATTTCACACTCACCCCATAAAAAACTTGCTTTACTTTAGGTTGCAGTAGCGCTTTTTGCTGAGGTTAATCCACGCACCAACAATTCAAACGAGATAGACCTGAGCTCAGGCCATGAGGTTTGAGGTACTTTCTTGGAAAGAAYAACCACCCAAAATGTACTCAAAACATTTCAGTGGTACAGTCGACTATATAGTTTGACAAGTTCAGTATACATGGAATATGTTCTCTGTCCGTTCGAATTAGACAAGTGTAGTCTGGATGGATGACACTAATTATTTCAAGACAGAGAACACTTTGAACAAAGTCACTGAACAGTGCAGATCGCACGCATGAAAGTGGTGTTTTACTCTATATGAAACATCATTAAGAGTAAAGAGCAAAGACTTTGTCTCCTTGTCTGTATTAGCCTAACACTGACCTTGTCTTCATATCACTTCCCTGGAGAGGAATGTAAAATCATATCCGTCCAAACCCAGTTACCACTAAACTCCTCATTCTCGCCAC